GGCCAAGGAGACCGTCTTGCATCTGCGCTCTATCTGATGAATCCTGTCGAGCCATACAACACTACAGGTGAGTGGTATCCAAAACTGATTACAGCATTTGATGAATGGCTGCGCCTAACGTTCCATGTGCAGTCCTGGTCAACAACTTCTTTGGCAGAGCTTTCAACTCACTCAATGACGTCGCTGTCAATCCCCGTAATCTGAACGTTTACTTCACCGACACCCTTTACGGATACCTCCAGAATTTCCGGCCGGCGCCCGGCTTGAGGAATCAAGTTTATCGACTCGATCCTTCCACGGGTTCACTGTCAGTTGTGGCTGATGGGTTTACTTTGCCAAACGGTTAGTGTCCATGTCCATGCACTCATTGTTTGTTCATAACTGACTTGGGTCTAATGCAGGGATCACGTTCTCTCCCAACGGCGAATACGCCTACGTCACAGACACCGGCATGGCTCATGCATTCTATGGCGAGAATCTGACGGATCCTTCGACAATGTGAGTTACGATTGGCAGTCATCCGATACTGTGAAAGAATAATGTCGCTAACCTTCCCAAGCTATCGGTACAATGTACAAGAGGATGGCACCTGGGAGAACCGCAAGACGTTCGCCTACGTTAGTCCTGGGATTCCGGACGGTAAGTGCATCTCAGAATATGACTCATGTGGGACTGTTTCTGACATCGACTATTTGCAGGAATTCACTGCGACTCAAAGGGCAATGTGTACGCCGGCTGTGGGGATGGCATTCATGTGTGGAATCCGTCCGGAAAGTTGATTGGGAAGATCTACTTTGGCTCCGGCGTCTCCAATTTTCAATTCGCCGGAGATGGGCGGATGGTCATCATGGGACGGACGAAGTTGTTTTACGCAACTCTTGGTGCTTCGGGAGCTTCCATCTCGTAAATTAAAAGACCATAGGTATCGACTGGAATAATGGTTAGGATATTGCCGGCAAGATACCCCGGACAGCTCAGTTCAATTAACTACGCAAGATGTGTATTTAGTGCGCTGGACGATGCATGCTATTCTATCTGGTCTCGCAATTCTAGGTTCCAAGGCTGTGGGCCTCCCATATCTTCTTGTACAGGGGACCCTTTGCCAAAAGTTCCTCATGGGTACCTTTTTCAACGATTCTACTGCCGTGGAAAACACAAATTACATCGGCGTGTCTAATGATTGACAGCCGATGCGCCACAGCGATGGTTATCCGCTCACCAGACGAAGCTGCCTGATTTAACGCTTCTTGCACAATTCGCTCTGATTGTGTGTCCAATGCGCTTATTGCTTCATCGAGAAGTAGTACACGAGGCTGCGGATCATGGCACGTGCGATGACGATTCGCTAGCGCTGGCCACCAGAAAGCTGAGTGCCGTTGGCTCCGCATTGAGTATAGAGACCTTCGGGCAGGGAACTAATGAGCTCCCATGCATTCGCCATACGGCAGGCTTCGATAATGCTTCCATCGAATATGGTAGACGGGTCTTCTGTCGGAATACCCATGGAGATATTGTGCCTTATGGTGCCTGGATAAAGGACAGGTTCTTGCTGTACGAGTGCGATGTCTTTTCGGAAAAGCCACGGGTTCATCCGGTCAACATCAACACAATCAACCTTCAGATGACCGCTGACCGGATCATAGAACCTCTCGAGTATGGCAATCATAGTGCTCTTTCCGCACCCAGATGCTCCGGCAAAGGTCACGAATTGTCCTTTCTTGATCCATGAGATCTCGTCAGTTTGAGCATTTCTTCCGGGAAGTGCCCATTGAAGCTTGCCGATTGAAATTCAAATAGAGTGAGTAAAGAGTTTGACAGTATCGGAGAAAGATGAGGTGAAACAAAACAAGATGCGATACATTTGGGCAGTATTACCAGCCTTCAAGTGGCATGAGAGCTTTTAGCTCGACAAGCTGAACTTGTCCACCGAGACTCAACGAGATGAAGGTCTGCGCTCGCGGACATGGGACATGCCGCCTCCGATAATTTCAATGCTACCACTAAATTGCGTCCCCATTAGCAACAATCATTCAAAGCTGTCAAAAAGCCGACGTCGATTGCTTTGCCTTGGAATGAGTCCCGCAGGTCCAATACTGCGGAAAGGAGGAAGCGGCGTATCGGAGGGAGTCCAGCTTGCGAAACCCCGTTTGCCAAGCTCACGTTTCCGCGGACACTAGATCGCCTCGCTCATGGGACCCACGGAGCCCGAGTTACGACGATGACATGGCCGGGGTATCGCGCATGAGGTACCTTTCGAGAGGTCTGATCGTCATTTAGAAATATTCTCACCTTGCTCGCTGTCGAGAGCGTCATGAATGAACCGCAGATTCCTTTTATTGCAATGCACGGGTGGCAGTTGAGGACACTGGCAAGGCATCCATCTATTTCAAAAGGGCCGTAGACTTCATGCACTCTTTCAGTTGTTCTAGTTACGTTCGAACATCCAAGTGCCATGAAATAAATTATTTTCTCTGTTACAAAAAGCGTGCATCCCTTTTCTCTTCCAACTTCCCATCGCTACTCCCATACCCTTCATGCCGTTGATCAAACTAAAGAGTAGTATTTGGCAAGTTCTGACACCTGGAATGAATTTGGCTTAGGCTTTTCTGATTGATACTATTTACGAGAGTATTTCTAGCAACGATGCCTAGTATGTAATTAGCTTTATTTCCCGCCGAAGCAAACAGGCCGCTGAATGAATCTTCTTTACGCCCATCCGTAGCCCACTTCCATTCGTACTTGGTGAGGAGATAAACCAGAATGACCTTGATCTCGTTGGAAGCGAAGAATCGCCCAGGGCAAGAGTGCAGACCATGACCAATCAAGCAGGCCCATAATCTTCTTCTTCGTCCTCCTCCACCAGGTTCGTTCGGAATTCGACTAAGGCGTCATAGCACTCCTGTCGTCGGAATCTAGCATGGTTCGGCCACCCATGCGCTCGGTAGATGTCGCGAGCGTCCTACAGCCAGTCGTGATGCTGTCAGTATGGCATGCCACCAGAGAACATGCGAGATACTGAAGCTAAGAAGAAAGACACGTACCTGAATCCCGGGTTCTGCTAAGTCGTCTTCCTCTTCCTCCCCTTCTCGAATCGTACCCCAAATTTCGGGATAATACTCTGCGTCCTCCGTGTCAGGACGAGGCAAAGGCACCAAGTCAAGAGAATACAAGCTGTCAACGAGCGCATCAAAGAACGGTCCGGCAGGTCGCGGCGGTGTCCACAGCCAGGGCTGGTCACTCGGGGCATCCTGGACTTGCTTGTTGCCAGCATCGTAGACAATGACGGTGCCAGCATTGGTATCGATGATCCACCACTCGCCGCTATCGCTGCCCTCGCCGCCGCCGCCCGCGATGGGAACCAGACCATCAGGCATTTTCTCGGCGAAAGGGAAGAGACCGTGGGCGCACAGGCGCTCGGGGGTAGCCTTGTCCGCCGTGAAGTTCTCGTTCAATTCGGGGTTGTCCTCAAGGTAACGCTGCGGTTCGCTGCGACCTATAACGGGCCAGCGGTTATCTTCGTGGGTCTCATCGACGTCAAGATATGGCAGGTGTCGTAGCAGGTCAATGACACAGTCGTTGAAGCCCAAAAGGCGCGTCTTATCGGCCGGCAGGAAGGTTTCGTCACCCCAGCGCCCGCCTGGCGGGTACTGTATTAGCGATGCAGGAAAGAAGGCCATCTGAGCCAGCGTTTCGTAGTACTTCGTCAGGCCGGCAACGATGACGTCCCTATCATAGCCAGCGGGGCACGTCGCAGGATCTCTTCTCTCTCGTGGCGGCGGTCGAGATTCGTGCCGGGAGGCCTCTGCCTTTCGCTTTCTTGACTCGCGTTCTTGTCGATCCTTCAAAAAGTCTTCCAAGTCTTTCCGGCATTTCTCACGATCAAAGGCTGGTCCAGGTCCGCGGCCGTGCTGCCATCCCGCCAGCATGTAGGTCTGGTACATGGAGGAGGCAATCTCTCGGCGATCAGGGGTGGAGAAGTCAGGCTCGATGCCGTCAATCAGGCCGGGAATGGGGTAGTAGTCTTTGCCAAGCATCGTGGTGACCTCTGCGAAAAACTCGCTTGGGCTGTAAGATGGTGCCTTTTTCCACTCGGTCTCGAACTCCTCCGTCAACGCCTCGCCACGTGGTGGTCCCGCGTACTTGACAATGCGACCACTCTTACAGTCCACAAGCCACCATTGCGGACCGTAAAGCGTGTATTCACCGGCAGGGTGCGTTAAGCTGATCATGTCTGGAGGAAGGTGGATTAGCTCAAACAGGCCCTCCAAGTGCTCCTCCAGCAGCGAGCTGCGGTCTCGCAAGTATCGCATGGCCTTAGTCTTTGGGAAGATGAGCCATTGCCTCGTATGAGGGCCTGCGTCGACGGGCCGCAAGTAGGGAAGGTGGCGTAGGAGGTCCACGGCAGTATCAGAACGGCCTAGTGTATTTCGCAGGCCATCTACGTCCAGCTCAGTGTCGCTCCATCCCTCGGGCGGGGGTTGTTGGATATTGTCGGGCGACAGGTAGGGCGCTGTTGCCAACTTGGTGTAAAATTGCGTGAGGCCTTGGGCCACGTCGCGATGGAAAGATAGGCTCTCCATACGGAGGGTTGAGATGTGAATATCAAAGTTTCAGGAGGTCTGTAGCCTGTAGAAAAGGGTCTTGAAATCCTACTTCTCACACTTTGGTGCACAAACAAAATGTTGCGGGCTGACAAAGATTTATGTTGGCTATCTGCAGCTGGCCGACAATCACTTCATACGTGGTCTGAGAAACGCGAAAGGTGAAGATGAAAGGCTATGGGAGGGGTCATCGGGGCTTTATATGGAAGAAGCTAGCATGTCTTGGCTTGCATCCCTCTTGCATGCATGATGCACCCCTGGCAGTAAGCACATTGATTAAGTCCGAGGCCCTGCAGGAAAACAAGACCAACCATGACACCAATCTTCTTGACTGCCTATTGGAAAAGGAGCTGATTGCGACAAATGAAACTCATACATTGTATAACTTTCTACATCACCTCACATCAGTTTGTCTACAACAGCGGGGCCGGGCGCAGGAGTGATAAGCGCCGCCGCTTCGGCCGCCACCTCCGTCGCCGTCGCCAGCGCGTCGGCGACCCACTCCGTCTCGCGCGGGTCCCCGCTGCCGAACGCGGTCTGTCGCGGCGATTCGGCATCATCATCGGCGGTCGCCGTGGCCGCGGCCTCCACCTGTTCGGCAGCCCGAGCTGTGACCTGCGCATATGGCAGAGACGCATAACCCAGCTCCTCCATTTCGTGACTACACGACTTGTCTTTGCAAGCGAGATAGCCAAAGTGCTCAAGGAGCTCCTCCTCGGTCGGCCGCCGCGTGCTATTTCCCTCATCAACGCGAAGGTCGTCAGGGCCCGGCTCATTACCGCGGGCCAGCGCATTCTCGTCGATGACGAAGTTGAGGTCGCCGGTCTCACTGTTGCGCTTCCTGACGCGCTTGCGCTTGCGCGATGTGTAGCCCCAGCTGGCCTGGCTCACCTTACCGGCGATGACGTTGGGTTCCGGCGCTTTGGCATAAGCTTTCCGGAGCGCCCCGTTCGTGTCACGGCCGGTCACACGGTCGTACCATGGATCGTCAGTCAGCAGGGCAAAACCGGGATCGTTCACCAGGGTCTTGGGCCAGCACGGGTTCTCCGTGACACCGTAGTCACCTGGCATGCCCCCCATGTTGGTGAAGTCCATCTCGAAGACGGTCTGCGTGGCATCAGCCGTAACCTCATAGACGGTCGTCGTGCGACAGCCGATGACCTCTTCTGATATGGACCGCGCTCCGTGTTCCTTCTTCACCATATCTGGTGGACACACGCCCTTCCAGATCTGACCCGCTCCTCCGTTCTCGGTGTTGCGAATGAGACGAATCCAGGTCCGACTGTCACGAGCCTGCCAGATGTCTGCGGGCGGGTACTCATCCCGCTGGCACTGAAGATCAAACTCTTGCATCCAGCCGGAACTCCAACTTGTGTGGTGTTGGTTGTTATAGCTGCGCACAAGAGGCCGCGGCGCCTCTTTATTCTTGATACTCTTTCCATTGCTGTCGTAGTTCTTTTTGCTGACGCAGGGTATCTGCTTGAGGGCAGGATTGTAGCGAAGAACAGAGCTGTAGTGGTAGCAAGCCTGGGTGTATAGGCTGCCGTCACACGTGCGGGTGACGGTCTCGGTGTCAAGCTTGCCATCTTTCGTGATCGTCTTCTTATCCCCGCCGGCTGGGGCGCGCTGGAATTTCTTCTTCTTGCAGTTGTTGGGCTTCTTCGGCACTTGAGTTGGCTCATTGCGTTTGGGTCGGTCTACTTTAGTTTCCAGCGGCTTGTCCAGCTTCACATCATAGTTCTTGCCGTTGAACTTGAACGCTGTTTTGCCCGCTTTCGCAATGCCCTTGGCACAAACTTGTACCAGTGCTGGCATAGCCGCTTGCAGGGCAATGGAGATGAATATGCCTAGGGAGAGGTTAGCCAAGTAGATGCACGGAGGGCCGGATAGGTAGCTTACCAACGATGGGAATGAACCTCAATGGTGCTGTTGCTGCTGCAATTGCAATGCGGCAGAAGGCTTTTGCAGCCACTTCGATAGCTAAGGCTTCAGCGGCCTCTCGGGCCAGGTCCGCCGCCGAGTCTTCCAACTTTTCTTGGACCTGTTGCTTCGACACCGGGCCCTTGAAACCCTTGCAACAAAAGCTCTGAGTGCCTCCAGAACAGCTCTGATCTTCCTTGTCGGTCTTGTGATTGGTATTTTGTGTGATGTCCACCTCATCATCGGCGCAGCCCCCGAAACAGGATAGACCAAGGCCACGATAACCTCTCCAGCGACATGTCCCCATAGTAACACCTTTGTTGCAGCAGATGCTCCGCACCTGATCTTTCGGGCATCGCACTTCGGTAGAGTACTGTCCCGGTTGACCATTTGCTTGCGCCGCTAAGTGGTCGCCGTCCCGGCATTTGTCTCCGCACTTCGTCGTATAGCACAGTCCCCGGGCGGCTTCGTCTTGGTAGATTATTTCCGCCTCAAGAACTTCCTCTTCCGTCAGACCATCTGGATTGAGAAGGCTGTTGGCATTCTGGTCAACTTGATCGAGCGCCCAGACCATCACACCGCCGAGACATCTTGAGTTGGCAAAGTCTACCTTCTGCTGAAGAGTCTCGCCATCATCGTATGAGACCCACTGGTCCTTATCCCAGTGAATCCATTTGACTCCAGCCTTCTTGTCGTGGACAGGGGTGAGACTTTTGTCTTTGATGATATCCATGATCTCTTGCAGGGTCAGGATCCCAGAAGCCCTCGAGCAGGGCCCCTCCTTGGCGCCATCGGAGAATTTGCATACGCCGTTAGGCTTGTTGCAGTCAGGATCTTCAAGCGTAAACGAACGACCGTAGACTAAAACGCATCAGAAAATTTGCCTACAAATTCTGAACACACGAAAAGGGGAATCACTTACAGCCCTGTCCCAAAACGAGGTTCTCGGGCTTCAATCCACCACGCCACAGCAAATCGAGGGCCATGTCGATCTCCGTGAGATTAGTGTGAGGCGCAATGTAGGGGCCGATCTCTTTCGACGCCTTGTCCCAGACGCCATGAAGATCGTAAGACATTAAGTTGAACCAATCAACGTATGGCTGAATGCCCTCAATGTCGAAATGTTGCAAATACCAATACGATGCGGGCAGCGTGATAGAGAAGCCGTACGAGCCTGAAAATGCGTCGTATATGTCTTGGCAGAGCAGCACCAGATTGGCGCGGTCCTCAGCGCGTCCTCCGCGATCATCTAAGAGTGATGTCAGTAAATCGCTTCATTGACGTTATTACGTTATGAGATGAAAACCACCTACCAGCTGTCGGGTACTCCCAGTCCATGTCCATCCCGTCAAAGCCATACTCATCCATGAAGGCCAGAAGGCCGTCAATGAATATTTTCCGATTCTCCGGCGTACTCGCCATGTCGCTGAAAGCCTTTTGGTATGGCCCGGCTATTTAAATCCTTCGTCAGCGCGACCACGATTGGTACATGTACAGAAACACTCACGGTCATTGAAAGACCATCCACCAACACTAACCCAGGCCTCCAAACCAGGCTTCTTTTCCTTCAGCTTTGTGAAGCGACTAAGCAGCGACCCTGCATTCTTATCCATGGGTACAATCTGGAATGTATTCGGGTCAAAAAACACAAATGCAAAGTTGATGTGCGTTAGACCGTCGAGATTCAGGTCCTCGGGGGAGACCTTGCTGCAGGGACGAGTGTTGGCCCACGACTCATAGTAGCCAATGGAGCGAGCCTCAACACTGTTGCCCTTGCTGCAGGAAGGTCTCTTTACATCGCCACAGGTCCCGTAGCCCTCCTGACAGCCTTTTTTGACATCGCAAAAGTCTGTAGTTGAACCGCAAAAGCTCCCGTGGCCATTAGCGGAGGTACTGGATCCAGATAGAGGACAACTACTCACCCAAACTCGGAACAGCAAACGTTCAGCGGGCAATTTTGCTTTCCAGGTCTACCATACTGACCGCATTCCGCTTTCGCGTCACAGTTTGATGTACAGTTCGCCGCACCGCATTCAGCTGGAGAGTAACCACAAAGACCAGACCCATTCTGAGATTAGGCTTTTGTATCAGCTGGTGTGTACAAATAGCACTTACGAAGCTTCAAAACTTACTCCAGAACAACAGGCGCCATTCACACACGGTGTATCAGCATTGCATGTCCCTACGGGCAAGTCGAGAGTTTCAGCGGGCAGGTCGGTGCCGAGGAGAGCGAAGGCCGAGTTGAGGTTGAAGAATGTAGAGTTACCCGCTACTACGAGTGCAGAGAAGTAAAGAATGGAAAAGATGAAAGTAGACATGGCTGGAGAGTCCAGAGCAAACAACGGACGACGCATGTTGGCAGACATGCAAGAGACAGGACCAAAATGAACGGCGGTGGTTTCCAAAGAATGAGAAAGCATTCCGCGCCGTGGGCACCAGCGATTGAAATATCGGTGATGAAAGACATATGGAGAGCTCCTGTGAAGAGTCCACTATCTTTTCAGTCTCGACGCCGGAGCCTTCAGGCCATATCCATTGATGCCGAGGTTGCGAACGGTGAACCCGGACTTCCTCCGCGACTCGGACTCGAGGCACAGAAATCTCACTATGTTCTAATCAAAAATGCAACCCTCATTTCGGATATATCATGTCTCGGTGCAGTCAGCAAATAGTCTATCTGCACAGGTTAGGCTATGACCTGATCACGTAGGAGGGTTTCAATGCAGCCAAGCAATGACTAGCAAAGACAGGCTGCTACACTGTTTTAACAGCATTCGATGTGAGAGGCTCCAGACCATCATCTGGCCCCTCAGTCTCAAAATCAAGTCAGCGAATATTACTCTGACTGCAGCGCGGTCCTTTTTTCCCCTGCGTTGGTGAGCCAAGAGGTTGGTCCCCGTGAGCGGCCAACATGCCTTTTCGAGCAGGTCACAAAATCTTGGCGCTAGGGATCGGGCCGTATGACCCTGGAACCGGTGTCGATAAGCATAATTACACATCCCATCACGCCGTACCTGCATATTAACAGCGGGTGGCGCGGCCAAATCGCTCGTTTACCCAATTGGGTAAAAGCATGTTTCTATTGCTGTGGCCATCGCGCTTGATGCTGGATGAAACTAGTAAATGGATGCGCTTCTCAGACTCTCTAATTCAGAGCATCCCGATATCAGGGCACTCTGCTCCCCACCAAACATACGTTGCAGCTCAAGCAAAGCCTCTTTCTCACTCGCCTTCTATCGTTTCCAACTAGCGAAGTCGGCTAAACAATTGTTGTCATGTTGCTTGGTCACGTCTCCGTCGCCTTCGTCGGGCTTTTACCTCTTTCCTATGCCTTCAACCTATGGCCTTTGGTCGATGCTGAAGGGCTGTCTAATGTTCTCCAGATTCCCACTGGCTGTCTTACTGCCTTGTAAGTCGAAGCCTGAAGATTGAGCAACTCCGTCGAGAAAAGATTACTGACTCGGGACAAGGAACGCCACCGTGACATGCGATCAGGACTTGTTCCAGCGCACCGTCAACGTAGATGGTCTCTGGTGGACGCAAGAGGATGTCAGCACACTTTGCACTTCTTCATGTCTGAACTCTGCGCAAAATTGGAAGGATAATGTAGACGAAGTGTGCGTCGGCGAGTTTATGGTTCAGGGTGATCGAATGGTTGAGGTTGAAACACTCGCAGCGCGGTTCGTCGAAGGCCTTGGGCTTTCATGCCTTCGCTCATCGTCAGGGCAGTGGTGCTTTGTTGAGCAGCAAGAGTGGACGGGCTCAGACATCATCACACCTGACTGCGCTGCTAATCCTTCAGATCCCTGGTGTGCCAACCCAGCGAATGTGAGCGCCGAGAACCAGCGTATGGCTAGCCTGTACGATGACGAGTTGCTCTGCTCTGAGTGCTTTCTCAACCTCATGTATAAGCGGGTAACGTCCGACTTTCTCGCTGACACTGACCATTCGGATTACCTCGTGAACGAGTTTCAAGATATCCAAGACATATGCCAGACGACTGTCGGAGAGCTGGCTACGAGAGTGCCGCCTCAGTACCCATCAGCAACAAATGGCATCGGTTGGGAGCCTACCGAGCCTGGCAGTCCAAGCACAACACAAGCTACGGCTACTGCCACCGCCACCGCCGTACCGAATCCGGATCCCGACTGTGAGCTGGGTCAATGGGTTGACATCTTCGCTACGCGTGAATCAACGCTCGCTGAGACTGATTTGGAGAGGTGCAATGAGCTAGCTGAGCTGCATGGCATCGCTACCGGCGACTTGATGGTGACTACGCGTAGTTCATCCTGCACCGTGGAGCCAGAAGGCCCATTGGACGATGAGGACTCGGATGAAGGCTGGTTCTGCGGATCACCCGCGTGTCAGCTTCTTCGGGTAAATGAAGGGGACACTTGGTGAGTGCACAAAACGGCTAAGTCTATCACACTACTGACGTTCACCAAACGCAGTGACTCCATTGCAGCGGCAGTTTCCAATGATACAAATCCCATCACTGCCGTACGGCTCGCCACCTGGAACCCAAACGTCCTTGGGGCATGTGACTTCCTGGTCCCAAACCAGTATGTCTGCATCACTCGTCGCGGTGGCTCGTGGGTAGGTCCTCCGGAGTCGGAAATTCCCGACGATGGCGAAGGGCCGGTTCGTGGGGGACCGGGAAGCACTCCCAGTCTCCCCATTCTGGAAAACCCAACCTCGCCACCCGCAAATGTGCAAGAAGGCATCGCGCCTGGCTGCAACCGCTACGTCCAGGCCAACAGCACGATTGCCTCGTGCTGGAAGATCGCCAATGATGGCGGTATCTCGCAAGCGCGCCTGTTCGAGCTCAACCCCGTTCTCGGCGAGTCGGGCGAGCGCTGCGATACGCAAGTGTGGCTTGGCTACTACTACTGCGTCCGCACCACCGGCGAAGGACCGACCACAACGGCCCCGCCGGCGACGACGTCGGTGCCCACTTCGGAGCCGACGGCCGTTCCCACGCCGTCGCCAATCCACGAAGGCACAACGCCCAACTGCAATAAATGGGCTGAGGCTCAAGACGGCGATTATTGCTGGAAGATGGCCAACGACGCCGGCATCGAGCTCAGCTCCTTCTACGAGTGGAACACGGTGCTGGCCAACGGCGACAGCTGCGACATGATCTGGCCCGGGTACTTCTACTGTATCGGGGTGAGATCAGATCCACCAACTACTACCACACAAGCGCCCCCCACGAGTACTACGGCGACGGCGCCGAAACCTTCGCAGACGCAGGCGGGGATTCCGGCAAGCTGCAATAAATTTGCTCAGGCCCTATCCGGCGCCTCGTGTTGGCAGCTGGCCACCGATAGCGGCATTACGTTGGAGCAGTTTTGCAGCTGGAATCCTGTTGTTGGGTCGGCGGGCGAGAACTGTGGGGCCCAGATCTGGCCTGAGTATTATTACTGCGTCGGAGTCAGCGGGTGAAGTGGTTTATATGAAACCCCTGGCTTCTCGCTGTTCTGTTCAAAAGAGATTTCTGGCACCAAACGCAAAATTGGTATTACGACTTTCTTATAGAATGTCTTGAGTCAAAGAATGAACATCAATATTTCATCCTGGCCCTTCGTCTACCGGAGAAATGTATCCAGAATATTGGTGTAGCCTGTGCGTGTCGTGTTGAAGGACGGCATGGAGCCACCACTGATATCATGAACTATATTGGGCTTCTGTAGGATCGGAAAGATTCAGCCCGTGATAACAGATATAGCTGCGCGTCTGACAGCTTGTATCCCCTCCACGACCTTATTCGACCCACCCGAATGACACCTGTCGGCCTCTCTTTCAACCACTGGTCGTACTGAGGACTTGGTCGGCGTACCCCTGACCATAGCATTTCAGGAGAATGTGTATACGTCCGTTCTACTAGACGAATCAGTCCTACTCTGGACCAAGTGATGTTATTTTCGGACTGCAGGACTATAACAACGTCGCACCCATGCCATTCGCCCCAGTATATGCATTGCCTCTTCTCTCCTTCTAGACTTCTTTTGAAACCTTCTGGATCCCAGGGCCCGGCCGACAAATGCAACACTGCCTCTGCTCGGCCCAGCTTCAAAACCGGGGGAGATGACAATCTGTCGTATGAAAACAGAGAAGAAGGGATTAACGGTCCCCGAAACTCGATATAGAGAGGGCTGTAATCGAGGGTTTCTCCGACTCTCGGGTTCTGAGGGTACTGGGAAAGCTCGGTCATCGTGCCAGATCGAGTGATCACCGACATCAACGTGACCTCGAAACGTTTGAGTAGAAATCTTCGCTCTGATCCTACATTTACCAAATGAGCTTTGCCGGCCCAGCCAGCCCACGACCATGATTGAAAGCCCTTTCTGCGACGTGGTTTAGGTCGATTCTGGCCCTCTTCAGACCGGGAATTATGAAACCACATCATCGAGTCCAGGAAAGACTTCAGGGCCTTATCTGGCACGCTTGACAAGTACGGGATTCCTTGAATATGGAAGATTCGACTCTGAGACGTTTCAAATTCTCGAACGATTCCGCACAAAGCCCTAAGGGAGTCTTCGTCTTCCGTTAAGTCTCTGGCGGTGTAACGACGAACTATCTCGGTAAAACGATAGAGACTACGCGCTGGTGAAAGTTTTGCTTCGTCGAACATGCCATACTTTTCATCCAGGTTTCCGCGACCCAAGATTCCCGCTCGCATTACGCCCTTGAACTCCGACTTGTTCTTCACGTGGAATCTCTCCAACGGCGCTGACAGACTCTCTTGACAGTTCATGGCGTTGCATTCGAAATAGACCTGGTCATCCGTGAAAACAAGTCGACGACGACTGAGAACAGCCTCTTGGAGTGTCCAGCCTCTTGTATACCATTTCGATGATTGAATCGCTGGATGTCTAAGCGTGGAGGCTATGTTGATGTCTTTAATGACGAGTGTATGATGTGGCTGGCGGTGCCTGTTGCCTATTCCAGGTAGGCCATACGTCGGATCAGACCCAGCAACCGCAATGATCGTCAATTCTGCATTGTGATAGATCGAGTCCATCTGGCTGATTTGGTCATCCTTTTCTTTTTCGTTTTCCTGGTCGATACAGAACTTATCTATCCAGAGGTAATTGAATCCCATGTCGATGGTCACACCCATAGCATCTCGAATGAAGGCTGGAAGATTTTCTCGTGGCGGCATGTGGCCAAAGGAATATTGATCTGTCGATAATTCTCCCCATACGTAACTTTGGGCTACGTATCTTGCTTTTGACGGTGCTGGTCTCACGACTGATGAATGGCAGTCAATGAGCCAGAGACCTTGGGTTTTGCGTGTGATTCGCGAACAGAGCCTTGTGTGATGATCCGTGCAGAACTTGAGCCAGGTCTTCCCGAGGGAAACGTCGAAGTTTGGTTCGACAGTCCGCGGTGCAAATACATTGGGTGGGGGAGATCCGCGTCGTCGGAAAATAACAAAGCCTTGTTCAAACCCCCGTCTGATCATGATACGGCTGTCGAGATAATCTGTCCTAATTACAGAACCGGATGGAACAATGACCAAATACCGAGCATCGTCTCCCTCGAGAAGACACCATGTTTCTTCGTAGTCGAGCTCGGAATTCACCCATGGATTGTGCCGAGAAACCGAAAAGGCACGCAGCTCATCAGTGTTCTGCGCGTCTTCTGGCCTGTTGACGAGCACTTTGGTTTCAAGCCGTGAGTCGCGGAGCAAACGACATAAGTGGCAGCTCTGAACCGATGGCCGGCGATAGTATGTTCCAACATCGGCGATCTTGATGTCGAGTGTCGACCAGCTTTCCCAACTATTGAATCAGGTGGCCGAATCGTCGAATGCTTTCTTTAGATCAAGTTCCAAGCACTTGGCGCAAAAATTGCTCGGGTGGTTAGGATTTGCAGGGCGGTCTCGAACGGGCGGTCTCGAACAGGCGTCTCAAATGTCGGTCGTCTGCGCCTCGAGTCTGTCGTATCAGGGCTCGCAGCCATATTTTCGTGCAGAAATTAACGGGGCTTTGGCTTCGATAATCCAACGAAAAGAAGCAGGTCGTGTAGGCGTTCAGTCTGAATCTCTGACAGCAGAGCACCTGAGAGCATATGGGGCTGACCGTAGGGGGGATCATCAGATCTACCTTAAGTAAGGGGATGTGCAACACTTCGCAGCCTTCACTATGCAATTGCGGTTTAAAACAACGTGTTTGAGCACCATTGGTCAAACCTCACATGCGTGACGCCGTTCGCCTTGGAATGAACCCCGCGATAAGCCTATGTGACCATGGAACTCCGTCCTCCAATGGAAGCTGGTAATATCCGAGCCAAGCCACAACTTCATGCGCGGTACTTTCTGCCCTCAAGGTGTAGTCTAAAATATGATGAGAACTTGCCTTGTTTGATGTATACCGCAAGACTGACCAATACCGACATATGCTATGAGTACGCATCTATCAATACCTAAGGATACGACCTCTAGCAATGCAGCCAAAAATGCCCATTTGAATAGTTGCCAGGTGTAATATCAAAGCCTGGAACAAATGCTTTCGTTTCTGAGATCCGGAACTAGAATTTTCGTTGTGCGAGAAGACAAAAGGTTCCTGTAGTTCACGAGGATTAGAAACACCCGGGATGATGTTGTGGTGTTACAGGTGACGCTTTGAATGGGGACGTAGCAAACATGCAATTACTCATAAGCTCATGATTGAGACAGACAATTACACTCGTTAGCACATGATACCAAAGAAGTTTTGCCCGGAGAATCGACCTTGTGTAATAAGCGCGAAAGCCGAACTAAACATCTAGAATAGTCACGACGAAACACTATCTCTCGTTCACATTACTACCTAGAGCCATGTGGCCTTATTCACCAGGATAAATCAACTTTTTCCTTCTATGGTTCACGACAGGTTAACCGGGCAGCATGTTTCGCAAAACTTCCTCACAACTTCAAATATTTTAAGTAGAGGATGTTTAAAACATCCACATTACTATGTATTCTCTGAACAGCTTACCAACTAAGATTTCTCTCTTGTTGGGAATGGACACTAACTGAAATTCGTTTCCTTACAAGTTGCTCCCATACTTTTGAGAGAAGCCTGGTCGACCTGACTGGGAAAAAAGCCCGCCAAGAAGACTTCAAATGGTCAGCACCACCCTTCCAGCATCCATCATCATTGCCAACGATCCCCGCCCCGTATTCCTCATTTTGTAGGACATGGCTTTAAGAGTTGCCAATAAGATGGCGGGCGTATCCTTAGGTTCAGAGTTACAAGAGAAGCCAGATATCTAGGACTGGATCTTATACACGACATTCAAGCTTTGAAAAAGAGAGACTATGAGCGTGCCAACAAATAGAAGACGATACTACTATAAAGCATCCCGATCAAGGTCAAAAAGCAAAGCTTTTGACAGCAGACGCCAATCGAACCTTCCTTCCAAGATCTCTGCGGTTTATCCGCGCCCCCCAAACACGGCGTCATGTACCCAATAGTCACGTCACGAGAAGCAGGATTGAAAGTGCATAAATAGTTGTGCACTCGTCGTCAGTCATTGATTTGGGTATACGAAAAGTATAAAAACTAGACGGCCACGCCGAGCGGCGGCGGGCAAAGAAGCCAACGGAAAAGATTCAAACAAGCAAAAACAAAATCAAAACTCAGAACTCCCACAGCTATGCATGCACGTCTTTTTGAAGCGAACGCCTGATGCGGTGTCCTCCACTTCCATCCTTGTCCTCATCCTCTGTCGTCCGTCCTCGTCCTTACTTCTTCTCCGCGATTCTTCTGCTTCTCTTCGCGGGGGTTCCGTTCACAGCCCCGACAACCTCCTTCTTGGCCGCCGCAGTCACCTTCTTCGTCGTCTTGGTGACCTTGGCCCCCTCCGTCTTGGGGCCCGCAGCAGCCGCCGGGGTGCCAGGTTGACGGAGCTTTGATGGCGCCGCCGCCTTGGCGATCTTCGTAGTTGCTGCGGGCTTCTTAGCCGCGGCAGCCGGGGTAGCAGGGGCGACAGGGGCAGTCTTCGTCGTACTCTTCGCTGGCTTCTTCGGCGTAGCCGCCCTCTTCACCCGCGTAGTCTTGCCCACCTCCTTCTCCTCCTCCTGGCTGAGCTCCGGCGACGGGGAGAGCAGGGGGGGTTCCTCGCTCTGGCTCCTAGCCAGCTGCTCAGCCCACGAAACATTCTTCCCGTCCTTCTTGGCAGCGGCAGCGGCGCGGGTCTCGACGGTCGGGGCAGCGTTCTTAAGCTTCTCGAGCATCTCGTCCGCCGGGATCGCGCCTCCCTTGTTGTTCTTCGTATTCTGGCGGGTGAGGGTCGCGAGGTCCTTCTCACCATTCCTGACCTTGGCGACCTGGTGGCGCATGGGGATTCTCGTCGCAGCGGGCGTCTCACCGCGGGCGGCAGCACGCTGGGCGCGAGTACGAACACCGGGAAGGGGACCGTTAGCGGGAGGGGCACCGTCGGGGTCTGCTTCCAGGACTGGTGTCACGTTCACAATCCCCTTATCGTCCTCACGGTCGTCCTTTTCGGGCCTGCCGGGCGTATTCTTGTCGGCCTTGGCCTTGCGCGGCTTCTTGGAAGCGGGCTTCTCAGGCGACGGCTCCCGTTCCTCGACGTTGTCAGCCTTTCGCTTGACCTTCTTGGGGCTCGGGCTGTTAGCGTCGAGCACGCCAAGAGGCTGACGGGTCGAGGAGGGGGCAGGCGAGGCGATGGTGCGCGGGCGCTCAACGGAGAATGAGGGGGTGTCGGCCCAAATACCCTGGGGACGGCGCTCGGGAGTGGCGGACAGCAGAATCGGGGCGCTCGGCATGGGCGACACAACAACGGGAGCAGTGGCAGCTGGGGCGGTGGCTTCGGCGGCACGGGCAGCGCGAGAGGCAGCGTGCCGAGAGACGAAGCTCCTAAGCAACGCCAATTCGGAATCGTCCTCCACCTCTACCTCAGCGGTCTCTGCGACAAGAGTCTCTTCGGCCTCGGTGGGCACTTGCAATACGTCGTCGTCTTCCTCCTCTTCTTCAAGGTCCTTCTCTTCACCGTTCTTCTCCGGGGTATTCTGCTGGATGGAGATAATGGGGACTGGCGAGGGTGAAGCCGGCAAAACGTTGGGGGAGATTGGTGCAGCAGACTCGTCGATGGGCGAATCGGCGGCGACGGGAGAAGGCGAAGGGGCAGCGGCAACCTCCTCCGTGAACAAGGCAGCATGCTCATCCGGTACCTTAAATCGAACAATCAACCGTCCACCCAACCTCTCAACAACAACCTTGGCGTCCTTCACTTCCTTGTTCTCTTCGAACACACGGGCAAGGGAAGCCAGGGCGTGAATGGGTGAGCCAGTTCTCTCCTGCGACGATCCGAAGATGTCCATGTTCTCTCTCACGTCAACCACGACTGAAGCGGGGGACGAGCTTCCAGCTTTGGGTGACTCCTCAACAGCGGGTGCGGGCGAAGCCTCCGGCTCCGAGCGAGAAGATGCTGAATCAACCGTAACGGGATTCTGCACCTGTGACTCACTGAGCTCAACGACCGAAGTGGGAGCAACCACCTGCGAGTCGGATGCTGGATCCTGGGAAAGATCCTGCACCGACGAGTGCAGGTCGGAACCGGCGACAAATTGGAGAGATGCGCGGCGGGCGGGCGAGGAGAAGGAGAGGGGTGCGATAGCGAAGGCTGGAAGAGAGCGGCGCTTGTTCTTGAAGGCCGTCTTGGCGGGCGTGCGATCCTTAAACACAACGACCGGGCTAGCGACGGCGGGGCTTGCGGCGACTTCGGGCTCGGCTGCCGGCTCAGGCTGCTGTTCTTCCTCGACCTCCTCGGCAAATTCGGCCTCGTCCTTCTCGCTGGTCTTAGAAGCGCTAGGGGAAGACATGAATGAGGGGCATTGGAAAGTGAAACCGGGACCAATGGGCGAAGAAAGCGGCTCTGCAGGAGCGGGAGAGGGCGAGGGAGGCTCGGGAATAGAGGCAAGGCTTTGGATTCTAGCGCGTAGGTTGTCGGCGCCTTGGACCAGCCTCAGCTTGCGACTGGCGCTCGAATGGTGCGTAGCCGTCGAAGGGAAGTGAGGCAACTTCGGCGTCGGGCTCTGAGGCTCCTCATCCTCCTCAATGATCGAGACTTCGGGTTCGCCGTAGGCGGCAATAAGCTGTCGAACGTTTCGTGCGCGTCGTGTTCTCCGGCCCTGGGCCTTGTCTGATTCCGCGATAAGATGCTCGAGAACAAATTCATAGGAGAGCTCGGGCTGGGGGAACTCGAGCAGTTGCTGGATCACCATATGCGTGAGTAGATCATTACTGTACGCGCGCTTGGGCGTCCCCTTGTAGCTGCGCTTCGAACAAACGGGTACCATAGGCTCGCCGTGCCTCTTCATATCCGCGAGGTACTGTTTGCGAATTTCACCAACGGTTGGGCCCATTGGGAGGTGGAAAAGCTGGTTGCGAACCTCGCCTACATGCCTGTTAGATAGAGCCACCTTCACAAATTGCTGGTGAAACTTACGCTGAGCGTCGATGATGAGTCCCAGGCCAAGACCTTCCTCGATGTCATACCACGAGGCGACGTCGTTGCCCAGGTCCTCCTCATTTCTCTGTCTCTTGCGAGAGCCGATCACATACGACTTTTTGCCAATCTGAGCAATAACCCGGAATTCAGGCGCAGCGTCGAGTTCGTCCAGAGTGAGAGACTCTGCGACCTGTTCGAGAATCGACTTCTCCACCATCAACATCTTGGCCTCCTGCTTCGTGCGGCGCTGGCGCTTCTTCCTGTTGACGGCGCGAGCCTGCTTCTGCTGGAGACGCGACGACGGGAATGACCAGGGTCGTGAGAGGGTGGTGTTGTAGTCAGTCTTCTCGAACAGCTCGGGCTGGAAGGGTCCACTACGGAAAAGGGTTAGCGAGGCCAGCATAAACACCATCGAGACGAGCATACCTGAGCGCGCGAGCAGCGTCGGTAAGATCGACAGTCGCGAAGGTATACGTCTGGAAACCAGTCGTGGGCGCGTAGTCGGACATCCACGTAACGTCATGCATTGAGATATCGATCTTGGAGGGCGACTGGAAAATGCTGCCAGCGTCGGAGGCCTTGGAGGGCGTGAATGCGCTTATCTCGGAAACCTTCGCAGGTGTGTCTTCCACTTGCAGCTTGAAAATCGGCGCTCTTGAGGGAGTTTCCACCAGCGAAACCGTCTGCTCGTCGTCGTACTCCTCCTCGTCAAGTCTGCTCGCGATCGACGCGGGCGACGGGTCCTGTGAAGCCTGTAACGCGGCAGGGGATGTGGTCGACATGAGCGAGAACTCTGAAGTCTCTAACATCGAGGGCGAGGCCTGGGGTGAAGGGTCGCGTGACAGCTTCGGTGTCGACGCGGTAGCGAATTGGAAGGATGCTTCGTCGGCGAAAGACACCTTCTTCGGTGAGGGCGTCTTGCTCGTTCGAAAACACGACTTGGTCGGGCTGAGCTTGCTCGGTGACAGGTCGCATGCAGACTTTGGTGTCGAGTCGTTAACCGACATGAAGCTTGCGTCCTCGAGTTGGAGCTTCTTGGGCGAGGGCGTCTTCTTGGGCGAGGGCGTCTTCTTGGGCGAGGCCCTATCCCGGGCGAGAGACATGACGGAGAATCCACCAGATAGGTTGACGCGCTTCTTAGGCGACGTCGTCTTCGCCCTCTTTGGCGTCGTAGGTGTGCTTTTTGAGGGCTCGTTGTCACCGAGGGACATGGCCGCGAACTTTGGTGCGTTCTTCTTGGAAGTCGACTTTGACCTGGGAGAGGGAGCGCCACGCTTCGTTGGCGTGGTGAACCCGAGGTTCAAGGAGTCGAGGTTGGCGGTCATGGCGCCGTTGGGGTTAGGCGTGACCTCCAAGTCTGCGAAACCGGCCAGAGCCACCTTAGGGTTTTCGCTGGAGGCGAACTTGGAGCGCGAAGGGGAATTCGACGGCGCGTCGTGCTGACGCGCCGAGAAAGAGAGGCCAGAGAAGTTCATCGTATGCGATGAAAAGACATTGGCTTGGTGCAGTTTGGGGTGGAAGTGATGTGAGGCTCAGTGTCCGTAGATTGGAAAATGAGGTAATCGAGGAACAAGTTGTGTGGTGGTGTGTCGAGCTAATTGGAAAGCTATAGCCAATGCAATGCGACTGTGGGTTGTCTGGTTGGGATCCGGGAAGAGGTTGCGCGCGGTTGGGGTAGGTAGCGCAGAGAAAAGGGACACGGGCTCCGGGGGGCCGCAACTCGAGAGTAAACAATACTTTTTAGCGAGGCAGACCCGACGCGACCAACAAAAAAGAGACCGTGACGCGCTTCGACTTTGAATAGCCGAAAAGAATCAAAGACTACGACAGCCGTCTCGGAAGATCAAGTCCAATTCCAGTATACAATTGCAATGACGAGTATCTCTGCAAGCGCATGTATGTATAGCCTCGAGAAATGCTTCAACGAAGGGTTCAAGGTACCTGCCGGTTTGCTCAAGACGAAACCGGGACCAAGTCACTTTTTGTATTGGAGGGCATAACAGACGGGAAATAATTGACCTAGGGTCCCTCCCAAAAGTGCGGCTCATTCTGTTCCTAGCAACGCCTCTTTTCCCTCCCCTCCTGTTGTTCTTGGTTCTTCTTTTGTTTACATTCCATTGCGTGCAGCCAATCGGCAGCTCCCGACGGCAGGCGCTAAATTGAATTTCTCAAAAACCCCTCCACCGCCTTTTTTCTGCTGCGCGGCTTGAGGGTCTGCAGCGGTGATCCGTGCGCCTGGCTCTGGCACCCCACATCGCGTTTCTGGCCAATCATGAATTTCCCGTGGCGTCAAGCAAGGCTGAAGGCACGTGATTGGCGAAAAAAGATGGGAGTGGCGCTTTGGAGATTTTCGTGATGGACGGAGCTTGGATATGGGGCCGGTGAGAGCTTTCGGAACGACGACGACGACGATACGATACTATACGTGAAAGCCCCCGACGGCTGAGTTGACACGAAGAATTATTGATTCAGTGATAAAGACTCAGAGTTGAGCATAACCGCCCAACATGCCGCAAAAGCCGATGCGCCTGCCGCCTGTGAGCGTCCTCCGTGTCAAGCAGCCCAACAAGAAGCCCGAGAACCCGTGTATCGCCGTCATGACCTCTGTCCTTGGTGAGTCAAACTCCGTATCCGCCCTGCGATTGCAAACTTGAACCAGCTTGGGGTTCGAGAGTTGCGGCACGATCACGCACTGGACCAACCCGCAGTACACACCTCAGAATCACCACTCAAGCTTCCATCAGAATACCAGCTAACACCTCCATCCACAGCCTGCTGGGCCTCCGCCGGCTACCACACCCAAGGCTGCGCCGCCCTCGAGAACAGCCTCCGCGCCTGCATGGACAAGCCCAAGGAGTCCAAGAAGCCCTCCTCCCCGATCAACTACCACCTCGGCCGCATGAAGGACCGCGTCGTCCCCCACTCCAAGGACGTCAAGCCGACAAAACGCAACTTGTAAACCCGGGGCAGTCGAAGACACTGAGGAGGAGGAGGCTAGCACGATGGGGCGTGTTGGTGACGGTGCGCGGATGAGTAAGACGAACATGGTACCAGCCATCGTTTTCGTAGGATTGGGCCAACTGTTGCCCACGCATGGCCCAGTTGCCCAGCGGCCGTGGGATGAAGAACGAATTGAGATTTTCTTACACCGGAAGAGGCGTTTTAGAGCATGGCTGTTGTACACTATGTATCATATCTGGCAAGATACTTTGCCGCATTCCACCACAAAATATGGAGAGTTTTATGAACAGCAATATTCACAAATTAGCCTTGGTTGTGATTTATTGACGCAAGGCAAGTTGTAGGCATAATAGACATTTCTTTGACATGCTCGACATAGGCTGCACACGAGGATGACTGATCCCAAAGCGGCTTTGCGCCAAGACGAAGCAATTTCACAACACCATCACAAGCACAGTGCATATTGTAGGACCAGAGTCAACTTGAAGGATCAGCAACGCCTGTCCATTCTTCAATAACCTTTAGCTAGCGCCAGTCAAGAGCCATTCCCAAACTGTAGCGAACGACAAGGCCAAGCATCTCACTTCCGGCCGGTACTGTCCACCAGCCATCAACCCTTCAACACCCGAATCAAAATTCTCCGTCATCATCAAAGTCGTAACGATCGAAAGAGGGTCAGTCATTCCAAGAGTAAACAACCAACGTAAGAAGTGAAAAATAAAAAGTAGAAAGAGTGCCTGGATTCGTTTGCCAATGGCCCTCAGTCTGGTGTCTCGTTGGCCCGATGGGCATATGCAAAGTCCGCCCAGAGCTGCGGGTCGGGAAACAGTCGTAAATATTTCCAAGAAAGAGTCCGGTTGAAGCGCGACTCCACGCCTAAAGTGGTACTTGTGTGTCGTGGGGCGGGAGGGGAAAAAAGTGATCATGATGATGGTGCCGTCTAAATCTCGCAGGTCCGAATGCTTCCTGGTTGCAGAATGATTACCGCTACAAGCCCGCCTTGTAGACTGGCAGCCACCTGCTCCGATGATGATGCGATGCTGAGAGGTATAAAAATAAGGTGAAACAATCTGCTCCGGACGCCTTGTATGCAAAGAAATGCCCCCCGATGGGTATATGGTATGATGCGCCTGGGAAAGTCCTACTCTCCCAAAAGACCTACTTCGACATAGAAATGGGGCGTTTAGGCCGTGTCTCCAACGCAGAAGAGTTCGATCTCGCCAACTCCACCTTCACGCCATTCGATAAAGGCGATCTGGATATCATCGTCACTGGCGATGGTGACGAAATCACCGTCCTCGTCCTGGTAACGCAGCTTGAGCATTCCCTTGCTGATGCTGCTGTTCGTGAACCGTGCCAACTTGGCGTCGATTCGGTCAATCAGTGACTGGTAGGTAATATTGAAGGCAACGACCAGGGTAACGTAGTTTCCGCTGTCGACAAAGTTCACCTTGACCTTGAGCTGGGTAGGAATCGGGAGGTCCGGGCTGGCGAGCGGGTTTGACTGAGTTGCGCTAACACCGGTGCCAAGTGGAGGAGACAGCACGGCATTCATTGACGCAGCAGCGTCGATGCTGAGCTGCCGGTCATGGGCAATAGAGTTGGGTGTTCCCTGGCGGGGGTAAATCGGTTGCGCGGGGAACTGTGACATGCTGCCGCCGTAACTTCCAGACTGCTGGTGGCCATATTGGCGCTCTCGCTGCGCACCAGGGCTCTGCGTGTTTGCGCGCATGGGGAGGTCGTTCATTCTGGGGGAGCCGGTCTGAGATCGGGGAATGTTGTTATCATGAGCAGGATGCAGGTGTGCTGGGATACTGGGCACCGTAGGAACGGGCGTGCCTCCTTGCGTGCGGCGTATGCCACCTGGGCCGTTGATGTCGGGTGTGCTGTACGACCTGCTGCGCTGCTGTTGGGCGGCGCTCTGGCTGTTGGATGCCATAGCAGGCAGAGAAGGTCCACGCGGGTTTCTCTGGGGAGCGCCATCCCTGGACGGCGCGCGAGGCATAGCCGGCGCAGTGTATCTCTGGTTGGGATCTTCCCATCCAGGCTGGGGCGTCAGGGACTTGGGGAACTGGTAGTTAGGGTTAGGGAACATGCCACTCGCGGTACTCGTACGCGATGACACTGGCGATTCGGCCACGGGCGAGAAGTATGAATCGCCGCCGCGGGCTCCCGGGGATGATGCACCTGGAGGAGGCATCTGTGTTTGCACATTCAAGGGCGCGGGAGGTTGCGGGAGCGGGAATCGGGGTGGTGGCGCCCTCACCATGCCGGCAAGGCTCTCGCCCGTAGCAGCACGTTGCCGAAGGCTGGTGCTAGACGCGTTTCGAGGGAGCATGGTGCCTCCGGTAGACTGTGTCGGCATCGGGAACTGGGCTGGTGCGGACGCAGGTGGCCACATTTCGTCCTCGTCGTCATCGTCTTGCTGGTTGAGATACGGGTTCTCGAGCTTGCCGCCATGCTCGCGAGTCCAGGCGAAATCGGGTGCGGCCGAATCAGGGCTCGTTGATGCCTTCGGGGCGTTGTCCTTCCGCTGCAACTCGAGGGCGTTGGCCCATTTCTTCATCTGTTCCTCGTTTGTGTACTTGATCATAAAGTTCTCGACACCGGGGTCGCCCTTCCACCAAATCTGAACGCTGTACGATCCAGGCTTGGACAGAGAGACGACGTCGGTAACATTCGTCATGAAAATCCGGCCCTTGAGTTGCAATCTTGCGTTCTTGTTTCTGATCTTGGGTCCAGTCGACCGCGTCTTGTCCTTCTTGTCCTTGCTCTTGTTGGCTGAGATTTCCTTACAGCAGAGTAAGATGCACTCGAAAAGGTAAATCTCGTACTAAGTCAGTTAGTACACTTATCCCGAAATATCGAGGGGAAGTGCAAAATCAACTTACGTCTTTCTCTTGCTCGCTCTTTCCAGTGACGACCGTGTAGACGCCGTGCATTAGCAACCTACCGAACTGTTCTACGCGGTGGTTCTTCCAGTCATCCACGCGGTTCCGGAGATCGTCGAGGGCTTCGTCCAGAAGATCGCGATTAACCTCTTCGTTGGCCCGAGAGAGCACTCTTTCGGCCGCCTCAATACCTCCCGCCAAGTCGGCCTTAATCGACTCGTCTTCACTCTTCTTCAACAAGTCCTTCAGCAGGAGAGGGTATTTCACCAGACGCTGCATTGGCTTGAGCAAGAAGCCATCTAGGGTGTTGAAATCGGCTGCGACCGGGTGTCCAGACGCTTTAATCTGGTCAAACACCTGCCCAGCGACCTGGGCAGCCTTTCGTTGGTTGGCGATGAACGGTCGGTAAATGTCAAAGGACTCCTCGTAGGTGACGAAGGGAGCACCCCATTGCTGAACGGTTTGCGGCATGGAGTTTGTCGTTTCCACTCGAATGAGGAACCTACGCTGGAAGTCGAGAATGGCGTTGATGTTGAGGAAAATCTGATGGATCGTGTCGCCAGTAATGATACCCTTCGTCTCCAAGCTGCTCTTCAAATCGTAAAGGTTCTCCAAGTCCTGCACATACTTGCGCTCCGTGTCAACCAGTTCCTTAATAATATGGTCTCTGTAGCTCAACTTGGAGCCGGGCTCCTTGGGCATGTCATCTTCAGGGTAAGGCTGCAACTGTAGCAGTAGTCCTCTTTGTTCGGCGAGATCGAGAACGAGGTTGACCACTTGGGTTGTCTGCGATACGGTCAGATTCAATTCTGTCGTCAAAGCCGGAGTCATTCCGAGGCGCGAATGCGAAGAGACGACTTTCACATACCTTGACAAATCCAGTCGTGTCGTTTCCGAGGACGTCGCTGATGACGAAGCATTCGGCGGACGGGATGCCGAGCTCTTTGAGACATGCCTGGATAAACTTGAAAATGGCGATCTTGGACTTCTTGCTCTCTGACGCCGCAGCGTTCGGACCGTCGATTTCGAGGGGCTTTTCGGGCTGCAGGGCATTGTAGATATCCAAGAACGGGTAGCCGGTGCGGAAAAGGCTCCACAGTGACTCGACGGGGTCGGTTGGGTCCAACTCTTGCAGATAGGGGTCGAAGCCTGGGACCTGTGCTAAACGCTGCTTCAACGACATGCAAATCTGGTAAAGGGATCGGGAAGCATCGGCCTTTTGGTTGATGATGTTCGCCGTCGCGATAACAGGGCCGCCATTCTGCGCGGGGGTTATGGTCGAGGTGCTCGCAAACGAGTTGATTGAACCGGCCGATGTGAACGCTGTCGAGCCGGAAAGCTGGCTGGCGCGGGGCGCATTACTCATGGTATTGGGTAGACCACCAATTCCGTTCTGGTTCTGGAATACGGGAGCGGTGTTGTTTCTGAGGAGAGGAGCATGAGCCATGACGTCCTAACCCATCCGAATGTAGGAGGGGAGAGGAAGCGAGAGGGCGATTTGTGGGCGAGGGCGGTCGGGGGAGGCTGCAGTCGGCTGGGTATCGTGGGAGGAAATCGGGGGGTCGAGGCGGTGGAAAATTGATGAAGCGCTTTCTTGTCCAGAGGTAGGAACAAGGTTCACGTCATCCAGCGCAAGGGTTTCTCTCAGCGTCGGTCAAGTCGGGAAGGCTCCGGGGTTTAGAAGTGTCGGTGGTTGGGGCGAGGGACGATCTAGCGGTCACGGTCGGTTCGCAAGAGTCGGGAGTCGTCGCAAAAGGGGCGCCGTTCTTTCTGGTCAGGCGGAAAGCGAGAACAAGGGCCTTTGTTGTTGGGCGGTCGTCGTTGGGTTGGCGCTTTTGTTCGGGTGTCGGAACCCCCTCTGCTGCGATCTGCAAATGGACAGCAGGTTCGAAGGAAGAGTGCAATCGTGTCGAGAGTGAGAATGAGTGTGACAGAACTGCCGGCGCCGAGTGTCGGTGGAGGAGGAGGAGGGAGAGGTTGGGCAGGTCGGGCGGGTCTGATTTCGAGTCGACGAGTCGAAGTTGCGGAGCGGTGCGGAGCGATGCGGGCTACCGGGGCGAAACGAATGCCTCTGTTACCCCTGTTGGAGTCCTAGTGCCTGTCCTCT